CTGAACAAGCAAACACAATTTGTCTTTGGCGACAAGTAACACTGAAGAAGGCTCTAGAGTTTGCTGTGCTTTGGTTGAGTCATCATTTATCTCCTTTACTGCAGAGAACAAACCTTTCATCCAGCATAAAAGAATAAGAATGCACACTCTGGCATTAGAGAACATTTGAGCAGTTTTCTGACAAAAAGGAGTGAGACCGAAAATAAAATCAATCACAAAGTCTAGCTAGAGCACATCCTGGCAACCAAATAGAAGGTGTGACCTTGCCACCATCTTTACAGGTATCAGAGTGGTAGCTGTGTTAGTCTGGATCTGCAAAAGCAACGAGTCCTGTGTCACCTTATAGACTAACAGATGTATTGGAGCATAAGCTTTCGTGGGCAAATTTCCACTACATGCATCTGACGAAGTGGGTCTTTTCCCACAAAAGCTTATGCTCCAATACATGTGTTAGTCTATAAGGTGCCGCAGGATTCCTTGTCACATCTGTACATGATGTGTTAAGATTTGCTCTTTAATAGTCTTTGAAAAATTAAAAGCAGGATCCTTCATTTACTTGGAAAAAGACAGACCCCTACCACAGAATAAATGGGCAAAAAAATATGATCACTTATTAACCACAAGGCAAACATAACTAAAATACTGAGGGATTTTACATCAATGGCACTCTGCAGCAGCTACCTACTTTGCTGGAACACCTAAAAGAGGAGAAAAATTGTTCCCAAGAAACTGAACAGCCAAAAATAAAGGAAGTTCCTAGGGAAGAGACATATAAGTCCACATGTTCTCTGACACAGGAAGGAGGGGATAACAATGAGAAAATAAAATCACTAAAAAAAAAGGGGGAGATCTTTAAAAGAAATGGCTACGTCAGTGAAAACTCTAATAAATTCTCTCTGGGGTCCACATTACAGTCATCACAGTAGTACAGCTCTGCTCCAACTGCCATACGTAGTGTCATAGCATAGGTGCAGAAGCATTAGTCAGCTAGATGATTGGAAGAATTCTTCTGTCAACATAGTAGTGTTTACCCCGGTAATAAACAGATTTACTTATAGGGCAAAGGTTGCACAATTTTTCACAGTCCTGAGCACTGTAGCTACATTAATTTTAATTCTTAAGTGTAGACCAGGAACTCTTGACTGCATGCTAATTTTAAAGATACAGCTTCTCAGATGTTGAATATTACTTGGTTACCACTAGAGAACAAAAGAAAAGCTGCGGAATAATTGTTCTTGCAGTGCTGTAAATGCAGATCTAACCCCAATAAAAATGATCTTGTCCCAGCCCTACCTTTCCTACTGCACTGCTGTATACTGGGCCCTTTGGAAATCACAAACAGGACAGGGCAGGATGATGTAACAGCACATATGTAATGTTTTTTAAGCAGACTGAAAGCCTCATGGTCAGATCCTTTTATTTACATGCTGTGCTTCTTTCATAACATCCCAAAGATAGACAAGACCCAGGTAGAAAGCTGGAAACATAATATACTTCTAATGAGGCCTATGTTGACACATGAATTAACTTTCCCCTCAGGGAAAGAAAAGACAGACATCTGCAAGTAAGAAGTTGCTCAGATTTGTCCTATGGAGAAATCTCACTAGGTCATAATCTCACATTTCCCTGACATTCAGACTTCTTAAAAGTCACTTAAACTCAGCTATTTACAAGTCTTGTATCTTATCTGATCCTGCTGTTAAATCACTGAAAAGAAAAATATACCATTATGAAAGCAACCTGAGTAGGGGTGGGAGGAGAGGGAGAAAGGTAAAACATTCGAGACATTCTTTATAAATTGCTCCTATTTAATTTTTAAAACAGTGAAAATCGACAGCATGTAAAAGATTGCGAGCAATTTGCTCCTACCTGTTTAAGGGTTTGCTTGTTTCTCTTTTTTTAAACCAGTCCAAGAACATTTACCATCAGACAAAATGAATGCCATGTTTCAAATGCCTGAAATCTTTGATTAAATAGAAAAATACTTTTCCTCCACAAAACTGATGTCATGTCAAGCAATTTATAGCATGCGTGGGGCTTCCCAATCTTTAGTACAGTGAGTGGTCCAAAGTCTGAATTTGTTTACATTATAAAGTGCTGCTCAGGATTAACACAACCACTGATGAGTTCATGATCTGGTCTGTTAACTTATCAGTAGTGCAGGCAAATTGGAGTAAATCAACAACAGCTCAGGAAAATGACTAGACATTTCCTCCAAGAAGCAATATTATTTGTACTGTGGCAGTGCGCAGAGGTCTGTCAAGGTCAGTGATCCACTGCAATAGCTGCTGTACAAACCCCCAGATAAACATGGGGCCTACCCTGACAACCTTACATGGTGACTCTCACACAGAAGGCTTGTCCATACTTTATTGTGGTGTAACTTTCTCACCCAGGGGTGTGAAGAGACATACACTCCCCAGCACAGCAAATTATAGCACTGTGAAGTGCAGGTGTAAACAGGCTTCCAACACTGTTAGTTACTTCCCTAGTGCCTTAGAAAAGCTCTCCTAAGTGCCTCTGCCGTGCTACAGTGCTGCCGCGGCAGCGGAGACAAAGCCTTAGGGGCTGCAAGTGGCTCCTTAACGAGTCTCTTTGCAGCACGGGATATTAAAACCTTGCGTGATTTAATTATTAAACAATCTAGAGTTATTAACTCATCAGGATGTTTTTACTCTGTTACTGAACAAACGTAGAATATTTGGTCAGACATCGTACTCTGAGATTTTATGTATAAACAATGAATTTGTGATGCTGATCCGTGATTTGGGTCCTGACCCACCACTAACAGCTCTCAGTTTCACAGCTTTACACAGTCAAATAGAGTCTTAAATAAGCTCTTCACAAGTTAAGTTTGTACATAATTGTTAAACAATTTTCTTTATGACTCAATGTTATTCTGTCATGAAGACCACACCTTAGCGCGCCCCGAAGCCCCTTTTAATGCCAACTGCACACCAACTAAGCGAGACAGTAAGACTACATGCACCATCTAAAGCTGACTGCTTATAGTCACACAGTACTCTGGCTCTTGTGATCCAATTATCTTAAGTAAAAACAGCTTATAAAAGAGGTAAATTAGAAACTCAATCATCACTACCACTGATGAACTCAGTAATACCTATTGCATGATGCCATGTAAAATGGAGCTTAATGGATATGTTTCCACTTAACATGTAAGCAGCAGCCTTTATCATGAGTTTGTACATTTAATTCTTGGTTACAGTCAAAGCCCAGGAAACCAAAACACTCTCATTAATTAGTGCAGAGACATGAATTAGAAAGGACAACCATTTCAAACTCAGTATTCCTTTAATGTCCAAACCAAATGCAGCTTTGAGTTGAGTTACCTATGCATTTAAAAGACCATTTATAAGCAAAATCTATTTGAAGCCAGGTTTCTGCTACAGGTTGCAGGCAAGGAACTCTTACATAGCCTTTGACTCCACTAAGGAGTATTACAAAAAAAAGGTCCTTAAACCATATAGGTAAGGATTACCCTTGAAGAGGAGAACCTCTGAAGTAGAAAACCTGACCCACCCCTTTCCTTAGGTGAGGCGGTGTTTATGCGACTAAGGTTCCATTCAAAAATGCTTTCAAGGGTAATTTCCGAGAGCCCCAGGAAATTATATCACCACTAGCCCCCATCTGTAAAGACAGCCGAGATCCAACTTCTACACTGCAATCTCCATACTCCAGGAGTCCCTAATTCAGGGATACCTGTGGTCCAGACCCTGCCAGGAGAAGGAGTAAACAGCTCCATGTGCTCCCCCACAGCTGGGGGAACAGCAGCCCAGTGATATGCTCTACCAGAGGCTTTTCCCTACTACTCCCACAGTGGCCAGAGGTGGTGCCTGTTATGGGTAGGGGGACACGGAACACCAGGCAAGCACCCCACCCCCAACACCATCACTCCCTCCCTGGCCCAGCAAATCTTTCACCTGGCAAACCCTGTTTCCCAGGGTTGCTGCAGTCAAGAGGTTCTAGTTCATACCTGGGCACAAAGATGGAGTTATGGAGGAAGTTCTCAAAGACTTTCCGGTACTCGGCCTCCTCCTTTTCAGCTTGCTTCTCTGCCTCTGTCTTGGGGCAAGCACAGCAAGCTCCTTTCTCTCCCCCACTCCCTTCTGGTTTGGTGGGTTCAGTAGCTTCTTCTGTATCAATGGTCCCATCAGCATATCTCCGAATTGGGACTTTATCTTTAAATGGAAAGATAAGAGGTTTTTCCCCTTGCCACCAGTGGGTGGATTAACAATCCAAGCTCACCCTTCCCCCTATATTCACAGAAACTTCAGAGAAGAGGTAGCAGTGACTACATGTTCTCCTCATGTGGATAACGAGGACTGACAGGTATGAATCTTAGGCATTTTAACACGTTACTGCTTCCAGCTCCCTTACCTTGGGAGCAGTAGTTATGTCGGTAAAGATAACTGTCCTGCGGCTGCTGCTGCCACCGTACAATGTAGTAGGACAAGTTGCCATTGGGAAGAGAGGGTGGATTCCATTTCACAATTAGCTGAGAAGAGGCATTCGATGCTGAAATAACATCCAGTGGAATAGATGGCACTAGGGAAGGAGGGAAACCAACAGTGAGGAGAGAGAAAAGAGGTAATTTTACACACAACTCACACTGAAATATAAAAAGCTGAGAAACAAAGTCTCAATTAACTGCTTTTTACATCACTCAAAAACAGATGGTCCCGCCCCAAGGGAATGAAGAACGCTAATGGCTCCCCTTGGCTAACAGGAGAGATGTGAAATCCAGTTTAATCAGGTCACTGATTAAACGCCACCTTTAATTGGTTAACAGATTAAATGGCACCCTGCAACCTCCTCCAATCCAGCTGCAGCACCGTCCGCCTGTGTTGTGGCTGGCCCTGGAATCTCCCACTGCCCGTATGAGGCAAGGGGCGGACCAGCCCAGCCACGCCGATAGAGAATCAGTAACGTGTAGGCATCACTCGGTAAGGGTGATGCTTACCAGTTGACGGATGACATCCCTAACAAATGGAGAAATGTCTCCCCCCAACAAGAGTGATCAGATGTACTGAACAACTTTCCTTAATGTTGAAGGTCCAAGTTTTGCAATCCTTAACCCAAAGAAGAGCCCACTACTTTCCACAGATGATATTGCTTGAATAATGATCACAGAACTTGGCCTGAAGTCTGTAATCACGCCCTGGTAGACAAGTTCATGCATTCTGATTTCCTTATTCCATGTAATCCCTGGGAGGTTCCATTTAGGTATCAGCACTGCACCATAGTTGCTGCTTTTTAAATAAAAGCGATTGTTTATGAGATTTCATATGGAAAATTATGAATGGCATTATGTTGAAAGAGAAATCTAGGGAAGTAGAGTAAACAAATCATGGCAACAAACCCTGCAACAGATCCGACTAATGAAATTTTGTATGAAATAATACCCCAAAACATATAATGACATTTCCTGAGAGATCTGATGAGAGTCAAGGTCTAATTGGACTTCCCACTTCTAACTATATTGGATATTTTACAGCATTTATATTCGGGATGTCAACATGTAGTCAACTGCATGATTAATCAATAAGTGTAGGCTTATTGATTAATCTTGTCCACTACACACACTTCCCCGCCTTGGTGCAGCGAAGAGGGGGTGGGGTAGGGAGTGGGAGACAGATCCCATGAGGAGCTGGTTTTAAGCAAGCTCCCCAGAAGCACCAGATCTGCCTGCCTCCCTCCCTCCCACCCCTCCCACACTGATGCCTTGGATAGAGGTGCAGCAGCATGGAGGATGAGGGAGGCAGTTTGGAGCTGATACACACAGGAAGCCGGCTTTCAAGCAAGCTTCCCTTGCAGGCTGGTTCTGCAGACCCATTTGCCACGGCCCCCCCCTCCCCGATAATGCCTCCTACAAAGGCAGCGAAGTGGGGGGGAGGAGGGACGGCGGAGGAGGGCAGCAGCCGGTACCAGGGAGAGCCAGCTTAAAAACTACTTCCTTCCAGTACCAGCTCGGCAGTGCTGCCTGCCTGCTCTCTTCTCTCCCCCACCCCCGCCTCGCAGAGGTGGGGAGCGAAAAGGAAAGGCTGCCATGAAGCAGCATCCAGCATCCCAAGGAGCAGCCTCGGTCTGCAGGGGTCCAAGCTCCCCATGGTCAGAGGCTGGTCCTCAGCAGCAGCTCCTGTCCATGGGGGTCCAAGCTCCTCATGGAAAGGGGCTGATGCCGCAGACCAGCCTCTATCTGGAGGGAGCTCAGACCCTCCACGGACAGGTCTGTTGCTACCCCCCATGCTGCTGGCTGTGTATCAGAGGCAGCAGTGCGGGGTGGCAGGTAGCCGGTCTGTGCAGGGATCTGGTGTTTCAACTGGCTCCCACCTGCCACCCCGCGAATGGAGCAAAGAGTGCACTGGCTGCTGGCCCCACTCCCGGGGACTATTGAATAGTCCTGTAACTGCTAAGATTTCACGTGCTTACACGGCTATTCAATAACCCAGTATCTAATATCCCTACTTTTTTGTAGTCTTAGGCAAATCCCACTGGGCATTTTTTTTGAATTATTTGATTTAATTCTCCCCTTGTTCGATTCACTTCCTGAAAATAGGCACATCTTGTATTTTTGCTATTATGCAACATGAACAACGGTGGCTGCTCTCAGCTAGCCTGTGTGTGCAATAAATCGAACCTCCCCTTCTCCCCCCACACAGAATACAGAGAGTGGGTTTTCTCATGAGTTCGAGCAAACAAAAAAAAGTTAAGTTGACTCCCTCAGCATTAGCAGAAACTTGTTCAATTTAAGGTAGGGATTGAAGAGGTTACATCAGTTACCCAGTAAGCAAGTGGCTTATCAGCCTGCTTATAAGGGTAACCAGTTAACTGGCCTGGCCACCTAGATCCTGCCTGCAGTCGTAGCAAGCCCAGCCAGGGCAATTCTGGCTGCTGGGACTAGAGCAGCTCCCCCGCCCCTGCAAACCAGCTCTCTTCCAGAGCAGTTCTCAGGTGCAGCCATGGCAGGGTTGGGGCTGGAGTAGCTCCCCGCCCTCCCCAACTGTGACTCATCATGCCACAGGAGAGGGGCTGCTTCAGGGTTAACCCGTTAAACCTAGCATTTTACAAGTTATCACTTTTAATGTTAATTAACATCCCTACATTAAGACAGAAAAACAAACCACTCTCAGATTTCTCTCTCTCTCACACCCTCACAAGTGTCAAGGGACAAAGAGGTGCAAAGAGGCTCCTTATTGGTAGTACAAGTGCACCTAAGCATCTTGAACCTCTCTACAGCTGAAGGGTTTCCAACCCTTGCCCCAATGCAAACAATAGTACATGGACTAGAAAAAACAGCTTTAAAATAAAATCCCAATGGCTTTACAAGATATAGGATTTAAAGTCTCTTTTGTCCTCTAACAGGTTTTTAAAATGCATGTAGGTTTCCACACACTTGGATTTCATCAGTAAAGATACAACAAAGAAGAAACCAGCTAAGACTATCATTTGCTTTCCCAAGGTGAAGAAGATGACCTGATGTTCAGTGCTTTCTAAAAGCCAAACATCTTTCATGACAGCCTATTTAAATGCCCCATTCATTCTGGAAACATTCTATAGTCAAAAGACAGAGCTGAATTGTGTGTTGTATTGGTCAGCAGTAGGATTTAAAGCAGGGGCAGGCAATAATTTTTATTTGGGGGGGGGGGGCACATTCCAAGATTTTTCAAATGGTCAAGGGTTGCACTTTTCTATGGAGAAGGTGAGGGGTCTGGGGTGGAGGTTGGGTGCAGAAAGAAGCTTGGAGTAGGGCATTGGGGTGCAGGAGACGGTGTGGGGTCTGAGAGGGAGTTTGGGGTCAAGAAGGGGGCTGTAATGTGGGACAGGGGATTGAGGTGCAGGGTCGAGGAAGGGGTATGAGTGTAGGAGAGTCTGGCCTGGGGAAAGGGTATAGGAGGGGGTGCATGGTCTGAGAGGGAGTTGGGGTGCCGGAGGGGTAGGGTGCCAGAGACAGGGTCTGGCCAGGAAGCACTTACCTAAGCAGCTCTCATCAGCAACACTCTCAGGCAGGTTTCTCTGCCTGTCAGCAGCCCCAGACCACTCAAAGCAGCTGGCTGTTGCACATGGCAATCTGCACTGCAGCCAATGGAAGCTGAGAAATTGTATTGCACTGCCCCCATCCCAAGTTTCCAGACAATAAGAGCTGAGAGATTTTGCTGGTGGCAAAGTCTCCTCCCCCCAGCACAGAGTGCCACAAGGAGCAGCCAGTCACTTTGAGCAGTACTGTTTCTTGCCACAGGGGCAGGCTGGCTCCAAAGGCTAGCTGGGTCGAATCTTGACCATCCCCGAACTAAAGGCAAGTATACAACTATGAAAAGCACACTCCTTGTATGTCTCTCTATACAGCTAACAAACCGACGCTTGTCTGCCCTCACAGCAATATTTTCTGGGAGGAATATTATAAGTGACCCTAACTGAGACTGCAATGTGCTTAAAATACACTGTCCCCTCTAATGGATTTCCTGAATATCAAGCAAATTTAAAGTTCATGTTTTCTAATGTACTTAAGTATTCTCTTCCCCTCCCCCACACAGTCCAGAGCTAATAAATTACAGGACATACTTTAAAGACCCATTTGAATGGGTAAAAGCCAACCTTAAAACCTTTGCAGTGCCACGTATCACATCTGAGGAAGTGGGTCTGGCCCACGAAAGCTCATCATCTAATAAACCATCTTGTTAGTCTTTAAAGAGCTGCATAGTCCTGTCTTTTGTTTCAGCTAGACCAGACTAACACGGCTGCATCTCTATCACATGTATCACGTGGGTTTACCTGCAGCTTTGGTGCGTATGTAGACTATCTCACTCTTTGCTCCATGGATGTGGTGATTCTCCATCATTGTGAGTGTAACAGCCTTGACATAAATCGCATATTGAGTCCAAGGTTTCAGTCCCTGCAGTAAAATCCCAGGGTTGTTCTCTTTGTTTGGGGGCAGATCGACATCTACCATGTTCCAGCTATTAGAACCACAAGCATCTTGCCCATCATACTCTGTCACATTCTTGAATGGTCTGAAATAGTAAAAGAAAATGGCACAGACTGTACTTTTACTTCCTATTAAAAATATTCAAAACTTTCACGGGGGAATCTTACATCAGCCTGTATCCAATAAAACTAATAAAAAAAGTTTTTATTTGCTTTTTTATAGAAGAATAAAAGAGAATCCCAGAGCCTAAATTTATCTTTTATTTCCAACTGCTCTGAAAGTAGGAGTTCAGATTTAGCTGGAGAATTTGGCCTCTGCAGTTACTGAGCTACCAGGAATCCGAGGAAATAGGTATTCGTGGCTTATTTTCCCTTCCCACAAAAGGAAAGCTGTTGGATAATTTATCAGTGTGAACAAACATCTTTAATTCAGCCACTTCCTGCCAAAGGAGAGATAATGTGTAACTGTTGTCAGCCGAGAGAAACAGACTGGCAGTGATAGGCCACGCACTGCCAAGAGGAAATCTGCTGGACTATTAATTTATTATTTATAGAGCTCAATAAGGGTACCTAACATTATACAATGGTTAGCCTATGCCAAACAAATAATCCCTGGAATAATAAAAAATCCTTATTTTTCATAGCAATATAATGAACCATAAAAGAATAATATATTGCTAGTTTGTCTTTGACTTATAGTGTATCACCACTACCCCAAGAATCTATCACATTCACATGTCGTGCAGAAGAAAACCCTCTACTCGGTATAAATGTGTTTAGTTACATAACTGTAGATTATTTCGTCACTGAACATGTAAACAGGACTTGTTCTAAGGACACTGACTCTCTGTTGCCCTATCTTACTTTCAAAAGCAAATAGTGATATGTTTCTGACTTTATGTTCACAGGTTATATGGACACAAATTAAACAGAGATGATTCAGAATAATTGCCGACAGTGGTTGAACATTAGCCACAAGAACCCAGATTTTGCTACACTTTGACTAGCAGCTCAGAAGCCTACTGGTTGCTTTAATACTTGGCATTTGGCAAACAACCATATGGACCTGTAATTTATACATCTGATTAATTTTAAATTGCATCTTTGGTACATCTATATACCAAAGGTATTACTGGTATTGAATGGTATTTACCATGGACATGTCAATACAGAAAGCATGCTATGTTCAGACTCACTGTGATGGGGAAATAAACATGTTTAGACAATATTGTTGTATTAAGAAAACTCCTGCTTCTTCTGCTCACAACTCAGCTCCAGGATGTTGAAGCAATCAACTGGTTCACCATGCTCCCTCCATCACAGCTCTCTCTTTTCAAAGCAGACTCTCAATGCAGCTGGCTAATTGAATAGAGTTCTTGCTGCAAGTGTTTCTTGCTCACTCTAGTTTTTACTGCTATAGAGCCTGTGGAACAGCTCTGGACAACAGAGAGAAAATCTTGTCTGCAATTAGAGACAGAACAGAGCAGGGAAAGGCCTACAAAAAGGTAGGATTAGTTCTAAGGATATTAAATATCGAGTAATTTACTAGTCAAGTAGTCAATGGGATTTCTATCAACTACTCCACTAGCCGATAGGCACTTCTGCATGCAGCCCAGGGCCAGCGGGAAGTCCCGCGGACTTCGAGCCGCACGCAGGGTGCCAGCTTTGAAATGTACATGTATATTTCAAAGCAAAAGCGCCAGCATGGAGCCCGGGGTTAGTGGGGGACTCAGAGCTCCGTGCTGCGCTGCTGCTTTGAAATGCCACGTGGAGTCCGGAGTCAGCTGGAAACTCCCCAGCTGATCCCAGGCTCCTTGTGACATTTCTCCAGAACCCGGGATCAGCTGGGGACTCACGAGCTGACCCCCCGGCTCTGCGTGGTTTGAAATGCAGCAATGGAATCAGCTGGCATTGCTAGCTGACCCCGGGCTCCATGTGGGGCTGCTGCTTTGAAATGCTGTGGCGGCATTTCAAAGGGGCAGTGCCGCACAGCTGATCCTGGGCCCCGCCCCGGCATTTCAAAAGGGCAGCGCTGCACAGAGCTCAGTACGGACTCTGTGCGGTGCTGCCGCTTTGAAGTACCTCCCTTGTCTTCCCCCCTTTGCTTCCTCTATCTGATGGAGCCCAGCGTCAGCAGGGGACTCAGAGTCACCCACTGATTCTGGGCTCCATGCTGTGCTGTCGCTTTGAAATGCCACGTGGATCCCGGAGTCAGCTGCTCTTTAGAAAAAAGCTGTTTAGGGGCAGATGGAATGAGAACACAGGTCAGAAAAAAACCCACTTCAAATTTGAAGGAGAAAAAGAAATGAGCCCAGGTCACCATTTGCATCCAAACATTTTCTGAAGCACTGGAGCACAGAGGGACAGAGAGCACGTGTGCATTTGGATTTCAGCAGGCCCCTCTCCAATACAAAGGTGTTGGTATGTGTGAATGTGGTGGGAGTGATAAAAGTTTCTCCCTTATCTTCTACCCCAATCCACCATAAGTAATCATTGCAGCAGCCTGTCCAGTTTAAAAAATTAAGTAATAGAGAACCCAATTAATTACAAGACTGATGCTCCAAATTAGAACTCCAAACCCTCTCCAGTCCATGCTACTGCTTAGCCCATATCACGGCTGGGAGAAGAAAGAGCTAATTGGCAGAAAAGCACACGCATAATTTGGAGATTTCAAACAAACAGAAAAGAGCACCCAGAAAACAGGCAAGCATTTCGTAGCACTTGGATCTTCCTGAATTTGGAAGGAGGGTAACGGGAAGGAAGTGGACCAGAAAACAGACCCTAAGCACCACTTTGTCAGTAGGCACTTTGGTATCCTACATAGAATCCAAACAGAACTGTGTAAAGAAGGAGCACTCGAGAACAGAGTACACTGCACAAAATAAAAATTGCCCAAGGGCAATAAAAATTTGCTGACTCACTTTATTCTTTATTCAGCCAATAAACACAATGGTCAAGAGAAACCCTACCCACTGTGCCTGTTATTTCCTGAATGACATGGTTAGCCTCTGAACACGCATACTCACGCCTCTTTGTAGTAAACAGTGAAGCTAATAAGATCTCTGTAATCTGGAGGGCGATACCGATCCCAAGTGAGTTTAATCCGGTTCTTCAGGGTGGTGTTAGAGACAAAATTCAGAATGTGGCTTTCACCTACAGCATAAACAAATGACATAAATCATGCCAAAGTTAGCTCAATTCCCACTTTTGTTATTGGGTTTTGTTGTGTTTCTTAAAACTGCATGCCTCCGTATTATCTAGTTTAGGGGATCTTGATCGTTCTTATGACCACTGCACTGTGGGAACTTATTAGTTGCGACATATGCTATATTTATTCTAAAGCATTTAGTGAGGGTTCAGCATAGAAACACTTAAATTTCTTAAAAAGAAAACATTTTTCAAGTGTGTGTTTAGAATTCTGGTAAAAGGTGCTCAGGGTCTCTCTGTGAAAATGGAAGGCCTTGTTTATCTACAGGACTACGTGTTAACACTGCAAGCTTCCTTCTATTCTGCTTGTACGTTTAACCGCCGAGTTTCAAGTGAACACTCTCTGGGATAAAAGAAGAGATCAGCTTCTATCGCCCATGTGATCCTTGGCAACTGCAATAGTGTGTTTTGCATTCCTATTCGTTAGGCACTGGACTGAGAACGATTAAACTCATTTTATACGCATCTGAGCCATTTGATGGCAGCAGCTTCCAGTCACTATACTGCAGTGGGCTCGATTTGAGCCAGCAATTTAGAGATGAATAGCCATCCAGTCCTGAAACAAAACAGTGTTTTTAAAACGTTAATTCTTGGACTAAGAACTTGTGTGCTAAATGTCAACTGTGAGTGAGTTTTAACATCTTAGTAGAACTCTCTGAAAAATAAAGAGGTTTTCACCCTCATGTACACTGGCACTAATGGTGCTGCTATCTTTTCAAAGGCAATTTAGCTTTTGTTAATTCTCTCCCTTTTTCCCTTTTGAGCATCAGAAAGCTTTTTCTGTAATAGTTTTAAGGAACAGGCAGTGGCTGGCACTGGCCTCATGGTAGTAAAGCCTGGCTGTGCATCTGTAACTCCTCCAGAACTGTCAGCACTCAGTCTATTGAATGTAAGCACACTCCTTCCTTTGCACAACAAGGATCTCCACCATCTGCATTTATGCATCATGCATTAAGAGACGTTCAGCTGTGTCCATGTCCTAGTTTTGTAAACACCGTCCAGCAGAAGGGGGTTTTACTTATAAACACCATATCTTGAATTTACTCATTTCCAAGAAGACCACAAACAATTTAACAGACAAAACATGTCATCAATTGACGGGCTTTGGGGCAAAGCCACGTCTGTAAGCCTTCTTTTCTATGCAATTCTATGCAAGGACAAGATTGACTTTAAAACTGTAAATCAAAAAGCCTGATGCAAAGACCAATGAAAGCAATGGGAGTTTTCCTGTTGATTTAAATGAGATCTTTGCGAATGTGCTTCCGCATAGCCCAAATACGAAGAAGTTTTAACTCTTAAGTATTGTGGAACTGGAAATATTTCTCTGGAATTATTCTCTGTTGGACACAGAATAAATCTGCTGTGATATGTTTCCAATGACTATTTCTAGCAACGGACAAGCGGCAGTGCACACCAGCAGAGGTTAGCCAGAAGTATTAAAACATTCTGCAGTCTCTTCAGTATTAGGAAACTTAACAGATACTCCCCTAATATTTATGATGTCATGGAGCCATCCTGTAAAGGAAGTGGTGGAAGCTTCAACGCTGAAGGTATTTAAAACAAGATTATACCACAAATAAGGAAAAAAAGATTACTTAGCGAAATATTGTGGTATGGCAAAGAGATGGAACTGGGCATTTTCAAACTCTCTTGTAATGTGGACATTTTAAATTGCATTCCCATAGCTACAGCAATCACTGTTAAAAACTAGTATTAGTAAAACAATGCATTTTTTTCGTTAACGTAATTTATCAACTGGAATAGTTATCTATATGTGACCAGCCAGTTTTGCAGGCCACCAGTACTCCATGGACCACAGTTTAGGAATCACCTATTTCAAATAGATAATGTGTCTTTTAATCACTAATTTTTATATTCTGTGTTCTTCAGTAGGATTGGCTGTCCTCATTTTTAAAACTTATATAAACCCTCACTCCCATTTAATTCACATTCTAGTCTTTTAACTTACAAGAGGCTCTCTCCCCATTGTTCCTTGGATTTATATCTCCTTTGCTCTGTCTTCCTTTGGTTCCGGACACGTCCTCCATGCGGTAAATCTCAGACACACACAGTTTGGGATTAAATGCAAAGTACATTTTTCCCTCTTTGATCGTCAGGTTGTGGTGGTTCCAGTCCCACAGCTGTTGCAGATTCTGGTTGTCAAGCACATAGAAAGAATAATTCCTGCAAAGAGATTATAAAAGGCAAAGTTAGTTTTACCATCAGCTCATGGGTAGTTCCTGTTCAAGCTAGCGGAATACTAGGGCAACTCCTTTTTAAAACGAAATATCCTTCTATTGACATGAGCTGATCACACCTTCCCAGCTTCTCTGCCTCCTGACAACACAACAAATGCTTCTTCATCCTAACAGGTTGATACTGTTTATAGACTTCTCTTACTCCAATGTGGGGTTGACAATTAACTGGTTACCGGTTCACATACCTTTACCAGCTGATGCTTACTGGGTAATGGTTAACTGGTGCCCAAGAGTGGCATGCTGCTGGCAAAGGACTGTTTCAGTCTCATTGGGCCCACTGTGGGAGCTGGCAGCCCCACAGGCTCGGGGCTGCTCCAGACAGGCTAAAGCAGTCCCCCTCCTGAGATCCCATTTAATTAGTTAACCAGTTAAACCTAATGTTTATCTGGTTAACTGAGTAAGCAGGATTTCACATCCCTGTTGACAATGCAGTTTGTATGGAAGATACTACACAAAACACAACTGTACAGTATTTTATTCCGGTCTCACTCCTTAATGTGTAGCATTCAATACAGCCACTCCCCGAGTTGCAAACGGTCGAATTATGACCGTTCGCACTTATGACCAAAGCTCCCATGGAGCGGTCGTAAAGGCGGTCCCCGAGTTACGAACGCGACCCACGCTTACGAACAGCGCGGCCGCATGCAACTCAATGGGGTCTGAGTTACGAACAGATCGAGTTACAGCCAAGTGTTTGGTCCGTAACTCGGAGAGAGGCTGTACATGTCCCTTTGAAAGAGATCTCTATAATGTATTTTCCATGTTAACGGCTAATGAGATTTGACGACCTTGCATATTGTATAGCAGAAAACGCATGCTGTACTTTAGGTCATCAAGATAAGATGGAAAGGTAGAGAATGCCTCATCCTTTCTTGTGTTACATGAGCTGAATGAAGTGTTTGTCTCAAAGACAGTGTATTGTAATTTATCTGTCAGTCCAATAGAAGGAATCACAAATGCTCTACCAAGCACTGTGCCTCTCCTGCACTACTGCCTGGTAATCAATGGCCACACTTACCTAATTCTTGCTGCGAGCACAGCACAAATCTTTGCTGCTTTAAAGTTCTGAACCATCACAATCTGAAGACCTGCTGCTACCACTAACACACAAAGGGAGTCTATTTTCCTCAGTGCAGAAGTGGAGTTACATAGGCACCTTAAAATTGGTGAATACCAATGCGAGTTACTTGTGTTACAAGTTACAGCACATCTTCAAGTGTCGAGGGCAGAAAAGAGCCTCTAGGAGCATTTTCATTTTGAGGTTAGGAAAGGAAGGGACTGGAGAGGGAATTAAGGGCACGTCTAAATGATTATTATACTGTTAGGGAAATCGGTACCCATGTGTTAACTATACTGATACAAACCCCTAATACAAATGCTCTGCACCCTGGTGATTTGTGCTAGACCTGTTTTGCACTGGTGTGTCCCTCTCGGTGGAGTCAAAATTTCTTTTTTTCTTCAACACACTATGCAACACCAATGTACGAGAGTAACAGACTAACCATGTGCTTGGCACCAAATCAACATGATCATTTATCGTTTTCCTTTTGGATTGCTTCCCCCCATGTTATACGACGACACCTCCAACTACTCAACAAATTAGCCAAAAGAATTGAATTGTTTGTTGGTTGGGGCTACAAGCTGTTCAGGACAGGACTGCAGTTCTCTTGTGTGTTCTTCTGAGTGCCAAACGCTGCGTGCACTTACAGAGCTATGTCAAAACAAGAACAGCCTGCTCCTTCTACTTCCAAGTGTCCCCAGACACTTAGTACTTATTTCTAACAAAACAAACACACCTGACACTGCTTTGGGTTGAGCAAAGTGAGCACACCTGCCTTTTGTTGACTAATACAGTTGAAGACGGAGCATACGTGTGAGTTAAAGTCCCATGACTTTCTATTTCACCATGAGAGAACATTGTTTACAACAGCATTAAACGCAAGTGCAATCGGAGTTCACCATGTGTACTGAGAGACTGTGGAGGGTTCAGACCAGCGATGTTAAATACTGGTTGAGTAACCTCAGAATTCTTATCGGTTAGTTGACTATTTTGTAGTCCCCAGAGGAGGGCCGGCAGCCAGGGCGCTTTGGCCTCACTCCCAAGGAGTGTCTTGTCACTCTGCATTGCTGCCTCTATATCAGAGGCAGCAGTGCAGGGTGCCAGGCGGGAGCTGGTCCGTGAGGGAAGCAAGTTTAAACAATAGCTCCCCTTGTGGACTGACTGCCTGTCACCCTGTGCTGCTGCCTCTGATAAAGAGGCAGCAGTGCAGGGTAGCAGCAGTCCCAGTGTAGGGCAGGGTCTGAACTACTGGATCCGGAATGAGCCAGAACTGATTCAGGCTGCCTGCCCACCCAGCTTCTAATACACTTTAAAGGTAGAGCTGCAGAGGGGATAGACCCTGGACTCGCTGTGACCCAGGCCTGAGCTGGGCTTCTGGCCAGCCTGCAAAAAAAATTACTGGTGGGAAGGAGGAGAGGAGGGAAATGCATATAGTCTATAGCATTAACCTATAAGCTTTTGCTTATTGGTTAATCTTTTAATCGACTACACTATTTCATCCCTAGTTCAGACATTATTGGGTCTTAAGTCAATGAACAAAAACTATGCTTGCAACCTCCCGAACATCCTTAATCAGATGAAACCTGCATTATCAACATTCATGTGTATAATGGAGGGCAAATGCATTTTTCTAAAAACAGACTTAAAACACGACTCAAATTAAATAGGGCAAATACAATTAAGCACCTCCAAGGTTATAACAACAGATTTTAACACAAGAAGTTTAATTTAATGCTTCCTATCCTGTCTCTGACTCATAAAAGTGTCATCTGGCGTTTGAAATAACAGAGCTAAATGTAGCATTTTTTATTTTAAAGAGACATGACTAAGTTTAAGTACATAAGTACAGTCATACTGGGTCAGACCAAAGGGCCATCTAGCCCAGTATCCTGTACTGGATCAGTGGCCAATGCCAGATGCCCCAGAGGGAGTGAACAGAACAGGTAATCATCGAGTGATCCCTCTTCTGTCATCTATTTCCAGCCCCTGACAGAAGCTTGAGACACCATTTCTACCCATCCTGGCTAATAGCCATTGACTGACCTAATTTCCATCAATGTATGTAGTTATTTTTTGAATGCTGTTAAAGTCCTGATATTTACAACATCCTCTGGCAAGGAGTTCCACAGGTTGACTGTGCATGGCATGAAGAAAGATGAGATAATCCAGTGACAGGACCAAGCCAAGCATTCTCATTGGTACTTTAGATTGTTGCAAACAGGTCAATAAGGAGTTGTGACTAACTGTAGATAGTATGTTAACACTATGCAAGTAGCCAATTAAGGCAAACAAGTTTTATGGGTATACATATACACTGCAAGTATGAATTAATGGACCCTACCCTGCCACCACCTGAGGCACCAGTGAAACCACATTGGTAATACAGTATACTATTCCAATCTTAGGCAAGGGTAAACCATTGCAGAAATGGAAAAGGTGCATAGAGAAAGATAAAAGTTACAAGTAACTGTTATACCAGGCTTTGGCCTTTACAGCTGGGGGAGGGTCAGGATGCCAAGGAAGATACCATGGAAAGAATAAAAGAATCTCCAAAGGAAAACAAATTTCTGCCAATCAGCTTCCGAGATGGGAACTAACCGGAAGGAAGGAGGTCGTGGCCCTAAGGAGGGCAGTCTAAACGTGTGATCAGAAGCTTGAGGACCTTCAAGGCCAAGTTTTTGAGGCAGGACTGAAAGAACTTGACCAGATGCTCGTATTCTTTGCAGCACACACCTGGTAGTGTCATCACAAAGCTATGTAACATCCTTAAATCACAGGGCACACTAATAACTGGGCAATTACTAGCTGAATTTTCAGAATACCCCACGCATTTTACATATGCCTGTAGCTCCTGAAGCCACAAACAGACTTTCACAGTGCTACATACATCTGCACGGACATTTAGAATGATCCCCATAACAAAAACACTGCAGCATCCCCTTCCCCTTCCTTTTCCTGGTCACCTAGTTCATGCTGGGAGAGGCCTATTGCTAGGAGAGGGCAATGTGCAATCTAGAATGCCCAGGAAAGGCAAAGTGAACTCCACTGCACAGCCACAGGGACGGGCAGGCAAAGGGCCTGTACAGTGAGTGTGAGAAACAGGCTCACTCCAGCAATCTGCGAGACGACTGCAGAGAGATCACCAAGCAACACAATCTGACGGGTAGCCACAGAAAACCGAGACCAGAAGAGAAGACCCCTGGAAGGGCCCAGAGAAGAAGGCACTGCCGCTTATAAGGATGGTCAGAATGCCCTTTAGTCCACCAAGTTTAGCCTAATAAAACTTTTGGAGACCAGCAAATAGCCAATATTAAAAAACAACACTGGTACATTCACCTTTATTACTACAATATCCGCCTGATTGGGCTTTCTTAGAGAAAAATGGAGTTTATAATGAAAGCATCACCAGACCCTTAATTGGCAGCATGGCTGTAAGTATGTATACTGTAGATGGGCTAGACACGGTTCTTTGACCAACAACTGAGTCTCTGTCG